CTTTAGTTGGCTATAATATTAATAAATATGAATCACATCCAGATGGTAGTGAATTAGGTAAAATTGATGCTTATTATGGTACCGTTGAAGAATCTGGTCGAGGTGCATTACATCTTTATAAGCTACTTTGGCTTGCTGATAATAAACATCCACATGAATTACGAGCTTCAATAACAAATGAGGTTTGTGAAATTATATGTAATAACTATTAATTACACATCAGAATCTCTATTTTAAAAATTGAAAACATGAGCTCTTCTATATTTTTGAAAACCAATTTTATAAAAATTTTGATATTCTTTTTGATATAAGTTATTTATATTAGAATATGAATAATTATAATTTTAATACCGTTTAGATTTTCCGAGAAAATCTAATCAGATATCTAGAAGGTATTATTAAAGAAGATTTAAGTTGTTTCGAAAACGAAAATATAGCATTAGATCCAACAACAATTGAAAAACAAAACCATACCTTACTATCAAAATGCTCACCTATACTGTGTTCGAATGATGTAAATTTTGATCGAGAAAAACGAGCCGCTATTTGTATTTTAGCTGCACAAAATCAAATTCATCATCATACAAGTACCTGTTATAAATATCATAAAGGATCAAGTACAGATAATATGTCTTGCCTTTTACGATATCCAAAAGAATTACATGATACCACAACAATTAATACAGAAACTGGAGAAATTCTAATGAGACGTGCTCATCCAATGATGAACAATTTTAATGAATGGTTTTTACTTGCTTGTAGGTTCGTGTCTTAAATGTAATACACCTAGTCTCGATGTAGCTGATGTTTTAATATCTATTTAGATGTAATATGGATACCAAATTTATCTGGTCCGGGTGTGGGTGTGGGTGTGGCATCCAGATGTTGATATTTAGGCAGAATATTGAAAAACAAATTAAATATACTCCACAATTTGTTATAGGAATTTTTGTGAAACACTATCTAAAAGGAGTGTTGAAGCGTATAGGGTAGAAATTTGGACCTACCGCCCTCCCACAGACCGTAACAGAGAAATCTAGTACCCATCACAGACCGTGACAGAGAAACCTAATACCCCTTACAGACCGTGACAAAGAAACCTAATACCCATCACAGACCGTGACAGAGAAACCTAATACCCCTTACAGACCGTGACAAAGAAACCTAATACCCATCACAGACCGTGACAGAGAAATCCAATATCCGGCACAAACCGTGACAGAAAAACCTAGTATCCGTCACAGACCGTGACAGAGAAACCTAGTACCCATCACAGACCGTGACAGAGAAACCTAGTACCCATCACAGACCGTGACAGAGAAAATCCAAATTCCTTCATTCACAATATAAAAAGCTCCATTGTGTTTCACATTTTTAATCCCGTAGGGATTACGCTGAAAGCTTTTTTACTCGCAAGAAATGTTTGTAAACTTAATAGATTGCTAATTAATGAGGCGCAAAGAATAAAAGAATTTGTAATTGTATACACATTAATAACTGCGGAGTGTGGTGTTGGTAACATTTGCCCGGCACAGCACAGCACTTTTTCTGTAGACAAACTATTAAACTTAATGCTAAATCAGATTGAATATTACAAAAATCTACAGGGTGTCGGAAGAGTAGCTCCCTATTTTAAATTCTTTATTACTCTCAAACGGCGTAAGATATCATAACGATTTTTTCATTATTTTGAAGCATGTGTCATGAGATTTTGTTGTAGATGAAACAAGCCGATTGTTCGTTTGACTGTCTAAGATCAAGCACAAATTTTGTTTTGAGAATATCTAGAAAAAATTCATTATTTTGAGTAGTTTGTTATTCTTATACTAGAACCAGAGTGTGGGAGTGTGAATGTAGATAAGCATTTTTGGATTTTTCAAACACACACGGTCACACCCTGGTTCTAGTATAAGAATAATAAACTACTCAAAATAATGAGTTTTTTCCATATATTCTCAAGACGGAATTCGAGCTTGATCTTATACAGCAAACAATCAATCGGCTTGTTTCATCTACAACAAAATCTCATGACACATGCTTCAAAATAATGAAAAAATCGTTATGATATCTTTTGTTGTTTGAGAGCAATAAAGAATTTAAAATAGGGAGCTACTCTTCAGACACACTGTAGAAATAAAACAATTGCGTATGCCGACTAATTATATCACGATAAAAATCAAAATGAATAACTGTTACACTCTAATTTTCTTTTTTCGTATTGTTGAACTGAATCAATATTATCACTTGTCAGATTAATGAATATGTCAAAAGAATAAAAAAGAACAAATAAAATGAAAAATACTTTCGTGCAAAATATTTCTCATTTTATATGATTAAAAGAGACACTTTCTTTCACTTTTCAGTTTTTTGTCAAGAATGTTTGAATGTAAACTTCTGAAGTTTTCAGGATATATAAGTCCCATATATATTTTGTTGAATGGTTTAATATGATTTTTATTTTTTGTGAAAACCTTGTTTTTTTTTCTTTCCTGTGGACTTGGATAATTCTAATAAAATATTTCTTGCAATAGAACATTAAATCTGTTAACACATTATCAAGAAAATTATTTTGATTGAGTTCAAAAATTTAGTACAACGTTTTATTCTAAAATTCTATTAGAGATGCGACTTCTACACTAAAGCTTTGTCAAATAATGATACCTTGACTGTTATAAAGTGAGTCATCAATGAATAAAACAAGTTCAATTTGCCAAAGGAGTAGCTAATCGTGTTTCTGCATTAATGGATTCCTTGTGCCTCTCTATTGGTGTCCATATTTTTACTTAACTTGTTGGATTCCCTTAAATGGTTACCACATGCGCATAAATATACTCAAAGTACATTAGCAACTTCCGAATCTGATATTA